CAAAGTTCCCACCAAGCATAAGCAAAAGATTGGGGTTGTGGGAGAGAGAGAGAGAGAGAGAGAGAGAGAGAGAGAGAGGGAGAGAGACAGAGAGCCAGCCAAAGTTCCCACTAAGCGAAACGTCAGAAAGATGGGGAGAGAAAAAGGGAGAAAGAGAGTGAGAGAGAGGGAGAGAGAGAGAGAGAGAGAGAAAGAAAGAGAGAGAGAGAGAGGGAGAGAGAGAGAGAGGATCAAAGCCCCGACGAGAAAGAGGCCAGAATAAGGGAACAGGCGCACAGTTGACCTATCAGACAGGTTGTGCACATAAATATCAGATCAGATTACATCTGATCAGATATAATCCAATCAGACATAATCCCATCGGATATTTTTTATTTTAGTTTTTAATCCGATTGGACTATATCTGAGCAGATTAGATCCTATCCGATGCAATAACAGCCCATCACAGCTGACCAGACCTAAGTCGCCGGGATCTCGTGTAGCTACAAGGCAGGGAAAAGCTGCACCTTCCCGACGTAGCCATACCCAGGGTGACCATTCCTAACCCATCATCTACGGATGGTTAATCCATTGCCAACCATACGTACCTCCCTTAGGTACGCCGATTCTAACCATGGTTATAAGTCTTGGCAGTCGCCACGGCAGTAATACCTTTTGATTATTTGATTATGGTATGGTAATGTCAGATTTAAATGTAGGTGTAGTTTTTGTATCTGGTGTTTTAGGGTTTTAGGTAGGCCTTTGACTGGCCTGGTTTCCTCGATGTCCTGGCACGTACGAGGAAACAAAGCATGCCATAAAAGCACTTATCGAGGAAACAAAGCATGCCATAAAAGCTCGAATTCATTGGTTGTGGATTTTTATAACCCATCGCCCCATCATAGCTAACCCATCGGCCACTATACGTAGCCCTTCGTCCACCATAGCTTAACCCATCGCCAATCGTAGCTCACCCTCACCATATCTAACTCATCGCTCGCCATAGCTACACCATAGCTCACCATAGCTAACCCATCACCCCACCATAGCTAACCCATCAACCCACCATAGCTAACCCATCAACCCACCATAGCTAACTCATCGCCCAACATACCTAACTCATCGCCCACCATAGCTAACCCATCACCCGCCACACCTAACTCGTCGCCTGTCATAGCTAAGCCCACCATAGCTAACCCATCGCCCGCCATAAATCCCCCTACAATGATTGTTTCTGAAATCACCATTCATTGCTGTCAATTGATTTCTACTCGATTCATCGCTGTCGATTAAAGAGACAATATTGCTGATTGATTAGACTTGATTGATTGATTAGATTGATCGGAGTCTTGCTTAAATTGATTGATTACATTGATTGATTAGATTCATCATTGTCATTCGATTAATGTCCGCCGATGAACCAATGATTTCCGAGAGCCTGAGAGTGTTGATTAATTGAGCCATCGACGTCCACAGACAGACCTAATCAGAATGATTGATTAGATTGATTATATTGACTAGATTGATTAGACTGATTGATAAATTGATTAGTTAGATTGATGGGATTGATTAGATTGGTTACATTGACTACATTGATTACATTGGTTAGGTTGATTAGACTGAATGATAAGATTGATTGGTTGATTAGATTGATTGGTTGATTAGATCTGAATTGATTGATTAGATTGTTTACATTGACTAGATTGATTAGACTGATTGATAGATTGATTAATTAGATTGATTAGATTGATTAGATTGTTTAGATTGATTAGATTGATTAGATTGACTACATTGATTCCATTGGTTAGATTGATTCGACTGAATGATAAGATTGATTGATTAGATTGATTAGATCGATTGGTTGATTAGATGTGAATTGATTGATTAGATGTGAACTGATTGATTAGATTGAATCAATTAGATTGATTGATTACGGTCATCGATGTCATTGATTTCTAAAGACAATATGATTAGTGGCCGCTGATGAACCGATGATTTCCAAGAGCCTGAGAGTGTTGATTAATTAAGCCATCGATGTCCATGAACAGATCTAATCAGATTACTTGATTAGACTGATTAGATTGATTAATTAGAATAGATTGATTGATTGATTAGATTGACTGATTAGACTGAATCGATTAAGATTCATTGATTAGGTTTATCGCTGTCATTGACTGCTAGAGACATTATGACTAATGGCCCCCGATTAAGATTGATTGATTAGGTTTATCGCTGTCATTGACTTCCGATAGCGTGAGAGTGTTGATTAATAGAGCCATCGACGTCCATGAACAGATGATTGATGATTGCTGATTGATCCATCGCCGTTGATAAGCCAATGATTACTGATTAGTAATTTGATTCATCGTCGTCGATGAAACGATGATTGGTGATTTGATTGGATTCATCGCCGTCGATTAATTCACAGAAGATGACAGCATGATTGTTAAGGACACCATGAACACGCCCTCGATGGGACCGTGGGATGAGCAAAATGGAAAGGGTTTTTGCGTGAATTCTGATTTTTTTTTTTTTTTTTTGTGAGTTTTAAATTCCTTTGTGAATTTTGAAACCTGCCCTTGATGGGACCGTGGGAAAGCATGAATGGAAAGGGGTTAGTGTGTGGGTTTTAAATTTTTATTTTTATTTTTTCTAATTTATTTGTGAATTTGAAGAATTTCAAATTTCTGAGTGAATTTTGAATTTGTTTTCGCATCGAAGAGAGGGGAGGTTGACCAGCTATGTCCGTTTTTTTTTTCTTTTTTTTTCTGGGCTTCCTTTTCTTTTTTTTTTCTCTTTTGTGAAGTTTTATCCCGTTTAAATAGCATATTTCCAAAAATAGCATGTTACAAATTAAGCGTCGGGGAAAATACTGATTCACCTAAAAAAAATATAATAATTTAACTGGAAATATTACTTTAATTGGAAATAAAATACTTTAATACTTTCCAATTGAAGTAAATTTTTTTTTTAAGAAAACAGCAAGTATTACTGCAAATAATACTCTTAACTGTTAAAAAATAGTCCTTTTAAGTTTTAACTGCAAAAATAATGCTCTTAATTGGAAAGGCCTGAAAGCCCGTCTTGTCCAGATTTAACAGGTAATTGAAATGGTTCGGCTAAAAAGAATTAGCCTTTAAAAAAAAAAAAAAAAAAAAAAAAAAAAAAAAAGAACCTCCGTTACAGCATCATCTGGGCGTCTGTTTCTGATTATTAAAAGGATTATTTTTTCCAAGGAAGACTATTATAATATTATTTGCAGCAATACTTACTGTTTTATTCGAAAAAATGTTACTTTTAAGTTTTAACTTAATTCGAAGTAATTCATTTCCAATTCAAGTAAATATTTTTCCAGTTAAATAATTAACTTTTCCTGTGAAAGAATCACCTTTTCTCAACTAAAACCATTTTCTGTTTTGTTCAACAACAGCATTATTTCCTCTGAGAGTATTATCATGTCCAATCCTTGCCTCAGAAAATGCTTTTTTTTCAATTAAAATGTAAAAAAATACTTGGATTGGACATAATTATACTCCCATAGGTATTTTCTAGTCTTCCTTGCCTCAGATAATGCGCACCTAAATTTTTTTTATTTTTATTTTTTTCCAGATTGAGAAACGTTTCCTAATGCAATTTTCAACCCCCTTGCTTGATTTTTTCATTTATTATTTATTTTGGGACCATTTAATGATTTGTGCGGCACATCCGTTAAAAATGGAACGATACAGAGCCGATTTCTTTTCGTTTTAATCATTAGCTGCTTTCTTTTCGTTTTAACTTTTAATCATAGCTGATTTCTTTTCGTTTTAATTTCAAATTTTAATCATAAATAAGTATTTCACAAACTCGGGAGGAGGTCGAGCGCGATCTCCTTTTTTTTTTTTTTTTGCGAATAATGAGCAAAAGCGAAAAAAGGATACTTTTTTTTTTTACAAAACACTTGAATAGAGACCAAACGAAAGAAGGGCCCAAGCACGGGAAAAGGGGGGAGAGGAGGAAAAAAAGGAGGGAGGAGAGCGGACGAAGGATGAGAGAGAGGAGGGAGGAGAGAGGACGGAGAGAGGAGGGAGAGAGAGGAGGGAAGAGAGAGGATGAGAGAGGGGAAGGAGGAGAGAGGTGGGAGGAGAGGACGAAGAAGAGAGGAGGGACAAAGGGAGAAAAGAGAGGGAGAGAGAGGGAGGATAACGAGGGGGAAGAGGGAGGCCAGACAGTGGGGCAAGGGGCAAGAGAGGGGAGAGGGGGGGAGGGGGGGAGGGGCAGACACACCACACAGTCATACATATATAGCCGCAACGAAAAACACTCACCAAAACACAAAGGAGATTATAGACAAAAAGGAGAAATCGTCCGAAAAACACACACATACAAAAAAAAAAAAAAAAAAAATCCAAGAAAAGGAGAAAA